AAACAGTGCCCGAGAGGCATCTGCCTGCAGTGGGGCGTGCGTGGCTGATGCGCAAGGATGAACAGATGGGTTGATTACACAGGGAGAAATGGACACTAATCGTATCCAGATTCACCAGCTGCAGGATTTCCTCCTGAGCCCTAAAGTACAGGAAGCCCGTACCTGCTTTGTTATCCTGTCTCTGTTCATTAGCCCCTTCCCCCGCCCTGGGAACAGCATCCCCGCTAATCCCCTGGGCAGGGGAGGGCCTGGGCTGCAAAGCTGAGATCCAGATGGGATCTCCCACCGTGCTCAGGCACGGCTGGATGCAGCCCCAGGTCGGGGCAGATGCTGGCTGCCAGCTCCAGCACAGCCAGGCTCCACCAGCTCAGCTCTCCCTACTCTGGCAGTTTGCTGCCAGGCTCTTCTTTTGCTGCTGCCTCTCTGAAGAGCCAGAAAGAGTTCAGGGTTAGCAAGGTGAGCAAAGACTGTTGGGGTTTGACACATCATTCACTCTGTGTCTCCTCATCTCTGCTGAGATGCAGCTGCTCCTAGAGTGGAGTTTGGTGTGTGGTCACAGCACGTGGCTGCTGGGGACATGGAGAGAAGGAGGTTTTGTGGATTGAAAACAGCAGAAGCAATTCCTCACCATGCTGTAGGATGACTGGCCAGACTGAGCTGGGAGGTGATGTTGGAAACCTCATCTGTATTCTTGTATCTGGAACACTGAAATATGCCAAGTGGCTGGGTTTCATCACTTGCCTGGATTTTGTGCACTGCCACCTTGGAGGAAGGAGCAAAGCCCTCCCAGATGCTTCTATCCATGTCCCTCTGCACTCATCCCAGCTCTCTCCAGAGGCAGTGATGTGCTCCCAAGGCACAGCAGCTGGAGGGATGATCCCAGGCATCCTCCTTGTGGGGCTGCTCAGCTCCAAGGGCCTTATCCCAATCCTCCTCCCACAGACAGGAGCTCTGGGAACAGATGTGCAGACACTGAAGCTGTCGATCACATTGGCATCAGCAGCTGCCCTGACTTTTGGTGGAGTCTCTGTGAGGAGTTTCCTGCTCAGAAAACTTTATAACCCAAGTTGCTGCTCCGAGTTGGCCTTTTGAGACTTTCTCTACTTGCATGCCCAGGATGTCTCCACTGCCAGCCTGAGCTCACATTTCTGTTGTCAAAACTGACGCAAGCAAACTAAACTGTTCCCATGCTTGTGCCTGCACCCATCCTGCTCCCCATCCAGACTCACTCTGGCTCCACATGCCAGGATGCCACATGCTGCCCCACAACCTCTGCTCCCCCCATCATGGCCAATGCCCAGCTCTGAGCAAACCAAGAATGAAGGATGAGAGAACCTCAGCTCTTGGTGTTACTCACAGAAGCTCCCACACCTTGCAAATCTGCTTCAGGTCTGCACACCTGGCAATAAAACACCAGCATGGACCATCCCATGAGTCCAAACTGGATCTGAAGACTGAGATAAAGGTGGCTGTGGCTGCCCTGCAGAGCCTCAAACTGGGGGGAAGAGGAAGAGGAGGAAGGAGAAAGGAGGAGGAGGAAGAAGTTTGTTGTTGTCTTGCAGATGAGGAGAAACATCCTGCCCAGGGACGTACAGCCACCTCCCTTGGGCTGGGCCTCCCAAGCCCAGCAGGATGGTGATGGGCTGGCAGGGACCACCGAAGAGCAAAGCCCTGGTGTGGGAATGAGCAGGAGAGGTTCATGTGAAGCCACCCCCCACAGACCCCCCAGACCAGGGAGATATTTGGTTGCCATCTCAACAACACAACCCCCACCCCTCTGACTCCACACCTTGCCTCCTGCAGCCTGTTGGTTGTGTCCTTTGCTGGGCTACTTCTCTTACACTTCCTGTGGCCAGGACTATCTGCAGAGCAACCTAAGCATGCCCAACCCTGTGTGTCTCATGGTTTTCCAGCTGCAGAGCCAGACAGCACAGCTCAGTGCCCATGAGCAACCCTACAATAACAAACTGGTCACCTCCGAGCTGTGTCCTCCCAGACCTCACCTTTCACAGCAGCCAATTATCACCAAAGTTAAACAGTAGCTATGAGCAACTCCAATATAAAAAAACAGTACCACAGAAAAAAAAGCTAGAGAGAAATTAGGGGTGAGAGAGAGAAAAACACTGCAGGGAGAAAAATAAATGGTATTGATTCTTCTGAGGCCCAGCTGTGGGGTGGTACAGAGGGTGAATCAGATCTGGCTGTGTTTGGACACCGTGATCCCCATGGTGCACAAGCCTGCCAGCATCAGCTCTCCCCTGGATGGGCTTCTACAAGGATCTCACGAAAATTGTACCCCCAAATCCCTTGGTACAATTAGTGGAAAAGCTGAGGGTGGAGCCCACAGAGGTCAAATTAGTCTCATTGCCTTTTAGCCCTTCTTTCCCCACCAGAAGTGGTTCCTGGAGTGGTGAAGCTGCTTACATGGATGGTCCAGCATGGGGGAAGCTTTGCCCCTCGGGTCTGGCCTGTGGAGACACAGAGCTCAGCATTTTCTGCAGCTGTAAATCAGGCAGTTCTCACCAATATAAATTTGGCTCTGAGTTGTAGGGGACTAAGAAAAAAAAAAAAGAGAGGAAAAAGAAAAAAGGAAATCACAATTCAAACTCTGCCTTGGCCAAACTTGGTCCTTTTAAGGAAAGGAAATTTCCCAGAGCCACCCTCGACAAACCTGGGGGCCTGATCCTGCTGTGAGGAATGTCTGTGCAAATCCAGAGTGGCTCTGCTGCCTGCTGGGGGTTACAGCAGCTGAACAAGGCTCCAGCCTCAGAGCAAAGCTCCTGGTCTCCTGCCAGGAGATGGAGCAGAGCTCACACCAGAGCAGCCTGAGAGCAAACTGGGGATTCAGAGGCAATAAACAGCACAAAGATCTGACTCCCCCTTTCAAGAATTTACCCTTTCTGCTGAGCCATGTTCTGGAAGCATGAGCCCTGTTTTGCTGTGAGCTGCGTGGAATAAAACAGCTGTGTCCCTTGGCTGGACGGCTCTTCCAGGGGTGCCAGATGTTTTACTTAGGACACGTCAGAAGAGCCTTGAGTTCAGACTTTTTTTTCCTCTCAGGCTGTTTGCAGAAGGTTCAGTGGGGTTTTGGGTTTTTTTTAGTATTTGCTCTCCACCAGATTTTCACAGGAAAGCAATAGGGATTGGGAGCAAATTGGGAAAGGTCTGGTTTCACCCCAGCCCCTCTTTGTATAAATAATCTGCAAGGGAAAAGCTGGAATGATGAGTAAAACACTTGTGCTGCCTTTTCACTGGAATTAAGGGTCTGCATGTAACCCGCTGTGTCCATGCACTCTGCTGAAGAGACCTCCTGGCACATTTTGGGGGTCAGACCCCACAAATGCCTGACTGCCCTCACCTCCCACAAGATGGGAATTTCAGCTGCCAAACCAGCCGTGGGGTGCTGTGGAAACAGCACAACAAGCAAGGTCCAGGACGGGACCCCAGCATCCCAGCCACCAAAACAGGGTGCATGAGGCCACACAGCTCCCTGCAGGGTCAGGAAGGTGTGAAATGCCCAGGACAGCATCTCAGGGAGGCTGTCACCATCCTGGTGGGTGAGGCAGTTTTTTGGGAATGTCCCCAGAGCAGGGCTGGGACAGCCAGTGCAGCCTGGAGGGTCACAGAGGCTCACAAGGGCCGGGGCATTCGGGTGCTTTGTGGCCAATTCGAAGGTTTTTACTGTAGGGCCATGCGCTGCTCACTGAAAAAGGGGTTTTTTTTCAGAGAAAGGAGGAGGAGCGGGGAGGCTGGGCAGCGGGGAAGAGGAGGAAAAATTTGGTGAAGGAGGAGGGGTGGCTTTCATGGCTCCGAGCGCCTGCGGAGCGCGCGGCAGCCGGGAAGGAGAACCCTGCCCTGCAAACAAGCTGCTTTTGTTGTGTCCCAACCAGGCCTAAATTAAGTTTGACAGAAAGAGGGCAAGATTCCCCGGCGCTGGGGCAAGCCCTGGGCTCGGGTAAGGCCGTGCCAAACCTCGGTGCGAGGCGCGAACCTGCACGAGGCTGGAGGGACGAACCATCCCGAGCCTTCTCAGGGCTTGCTCCAGAAACAGCCGGGAACATCCCGAGCCTTCTCAGGGCTTCCTCCAGCAGCAGCCGGGAACATCCCGAGCCTTCTCAGGGCTTCCTCCAGCAGCAGCCGGCCCGGCCCCGAGGCCGCCGTGGCTCCAGGAAAAGCTGCCCCTGGAGTGCCCCGTCCCGCCCCGCTCCGGGCATCGCCCAGCCCCGCGCCCGCCCGGGCACGCCGTGCCAGCCTGGGGAACCAGCCAGCTTCTAAACAGTTAATGCCGACAAAACCAGGCGGCTTGAGTTCCCTCCTTCCCGGACCCGCTCCTGGTGGAACTCACCCCCTTTCAAATGAAATTAAATTAAATTATCCTCCTGGCTCTGACCTCGCCCCGGTGTCCTCCCCGCTGTCCTCTCGTCCTCCCTGTCCGTGCACGGGCTCTTGCCGTGCCCCCACCCTGCGCTGGCAGGAGTGCCCGTGCCCAGCGTCTCCCACCACGTTTCTCCGGCTGCCATGTTGAATTGCAAATCCGACATGATTCCACACATTCTCCCCGGTCCGTGGTGCCCGCTGGGGAACTAAAGAGGCACGCGGGCGACAACGCCCAGCCCCGGGTGGCTCTTGGGGACGTCCCGGGTGCTGGGGCGAGGGCACGGAGAGAAATCGCCCTCCAGTTCTGCTCCAAATGCTGCACGTAGGGACCTGCCTATATGCCATACATCCCTCTCTAGGAGACCGATTAAAGTCGGGTGTTTTAGCACCAAGGGCCGGAGGACTCGGCGAGAAGGGATTTTGGGGAGAAGGCAGGTTACAGCAACAATAAAGCGACGGAGCAACTGGAGGAACAAAACATTATTTCAAATCAAAGGCAAAAAAACCCCAACCGCACGGACTAAAAAAAAAAAAAAAAAAAAAAAAAAAAAAAAAAAAAAAAAAAAAAAACCAAACCAAAAAAAAAAACCAACCAAAATTAAGAGTGAGGTTCGATTTCGTACCAAGGCAGCAAGAGAGACGCACCGTGGAAGAGAGTGGTTTTGTTGTTGAGTAGTGGCTGGATTTAGCTTCGTTTATCCGGACAATCATCGGGGAAGGATCCTTTTCCGAGAAAGGCCAGTTTGAGTGAGACAGCTTTTTTTTTTCCCTTCTCTCGCTCGCTCTCTCCCCTTTCCTTCTCGCAGCTCAATGCCAAGAAATGGGCGGTGCCTGGATGCCAGGCTCCATCCGAACGAGACACCCAAGGCCAACGGAGGCTGGCACAAAGGCGAGCTGGCAGGAATTCCTGCACTCGGAGCCGCGCGCCTGCGGGACGAGCCCTCCGCCTCCCAAAAAATCAACCTCCGACACCGCCCGCTCCGGAAAGTTGCCCCGTCAGGCTCGAAAATGCCCCATGGGGCTCAAGCACAGGGCGAAAAAAAGGACAAGGGGAGGAAAAAAACCCCAAGACCCCTCTTTGCATCGACGCAGGTTAAACAAAAGGCCTGGGGAGGTGGATTATTTTTTTCCCGCCCTCCCCATGCTTCTTTTCCCGCCTTCCCATCCCTCTCCTCCCTCCTCTTGTCCTCCATCGTTGTCTCCCTCGCCCGCCGCCCCGGCGTCCAGGCAGCAACGAGCCCTTGGCTCCCTCCTTCCTGGTTTTCGCACGACAGGAGGTGGCGGGTCCTTGAATAGGAACACACACACCCAACGCGAGAGGGACCCGATGGGGGCAGGAAAAAAAGAGGACAAAAAAACCCCCACATATATATATACAAACAACCCACCCGCCATGGAGGCCGGTTGGGAGCAGTTGCTGCCGAGGGTGGCAGATTGGGGGTGGTTTGGGTGCCAAGGGGTATTTTTGGCCTTATTCTGTTGCTGCCCGAGCACCTGGGTCGTGCCGATTGTAAAAGGGAATCGCGGCGGGTTGGGGAAGGGAGCGGAGGGGGGGCAGCTGGGGTTGGTAGCGCTGCTGGGGAGATGCCAAAAAACCAAAACAAAACACGTTTTCATTTTGTCTGCACCAGCCTGGGCGCAGGCGAGCACGGGAGAGGGAGGGAGAGGGAGGCGCACGCCAACAGAAAGCCGCCGTGCTCAGAAGCGGGCCTGCGGCCACGTCCCTCCGCAGCCGCCCCAGCAGCCGTTCCCGCTCCCTCGTCCCCCTCTCCCTGCCCACCCGGCTTCGCCTGCCAAGTCCGAGTTGGCACGGCTCCCCAGGCTGCGCCGAACAAAGCCGTCACCCATCCCCGAGCCGGCGCTGACAGTAAGCAAAGTGACAGGCGCATCTTCCGCATGTTAATCCAAACGGCGAGAAGGCGAGCGAGCGGCGGAGCCCCCCCTTGCCATGCACACACAGCCCCCCCCACCCCGTGCCACCGAGCCACCCACCCCACCCTTGGCACCCGACGGCCCCGGTGGCCTCGTGCGGGGATGGCGAGGCCCCCGCCGGCGGGAGCACCGAAGGCTCCTCGTCGGCGAGGTTTAAATCGAGCCGAAGCCCCGCTCGGCGGGCAAACGAGGCCACTCGGCATCTGCTGTACCTGTTCCCGCTGCCTTCATCTCGCCTTGGAACCGTGACAAGAGCGCACTCGCCTCTGGTGGGCTCTCAAAGCCGCGGGTCTGTAACCCTTTGCAGGAAGTTGGCACCGATCCCAGGTAGGACTTTACTCCCCGGCTCTCGCTCTCTCCCCCCACCTCCGCCTCCCGCTCCCTCCCCTCCGCTCCCCCACCCATCCTGTCCCTTGGGCCCCTCTTGCGTCCCCCCAAAACACCACCCGGCCCCCGCTCCCCTGCTCTGCTCACCCGCCTCGTTGGCCGGGGGTAGCGCGGGGGGCGGCCGAGGCTGCTGGGCGCCCACCGAGCCCTCGTGCCCACCGCCCTTGCACACATACCCTGGAAGGATGACCTGGGCAAGACAGAGAACAACAACTTCCTGCTCCGGCTCCCTAAAACGCCTGTTTCCACGCAGGGGTTAGGCAGCACGGCGAGACGGGGGGAGCTGGGAGGAGGTTTGGGGGTTTGTCGTCATTGAACCAGGCTTTTTTTCTTTTCCTCTTTTTTTTTTTTGCTTTTTTCTCCTTCCCCCCCTTTTTTTTTAAAAAAAAGCCTTTTTAATATTTTTCCTGCCTATTTTCCCTTTTTTTATGCCTTTTTTTTTTTTTAACATATATTTTTGCCCTGCAGTCCCAACGCGAAGGGAAAGGAGGGGAAGAGAAATCAAATGGGAAGAGAATAGCTCCAAGTCGGCAGGACAATGCACGGGAAACGGGGAGATTAGCGTAGCTCTCGAAATCCATCACGCCCGCCCCGTTTCTGAACCGTTCGCCCCCGCGCCTCGTCTTTTTTAATTCTCCCAGCTCCTGAATTATTCCAGTCCACGAGCGGGAGGGGAGCGCACAGTCCGGAGTCCCTCAGAGCTGCCAAGAGCATTGCAACAGGAAAGAAAGGAAGCGGGAGAGGGAGAGCCAGGCAGAGCCCTCACAATCGAGCAGCGAGAAGAGCAAGGAAAAATTAACATCCAATTAGTGCCGTGTTTAACGAGGGAGACAGAGGCGGCTGTTGTTTTATTGCCCTGTTCTTTTCAGGCGCATCTGACAGGCAGCAGGGAAGGCACCCCTGCTCCGAGTGACGTCATCATATTTTATTTTTTAATTATTTCCCCCCCCCCTCCTCCCCCGTCTTTCCTCCTCTAAGTTTCGCACAGACAATCTCGGCAACTCGGCCAGGGAAATTCGGGACTTTCTCGCATTCAAGCCCCCCTCCACCTCCAGCCTCCCCCCGTCCACCGACAGCAACCCCGGAAAAACAACAGCGCCAACCCACCCCAAAGTCTTTGTTCTTCCAAAAAGAAAAGGGAAAAAAGGAGGAAAGAAAAAAATAAAAAATCAGCGTTGTGATGAGAGCTGGAGGAGGTTTCTCCGCGTGTGCGTCCGGGTGTGTGCGTGCGGCGCTCGGTCCCTCTCCCGTCCCTCTCTCCCCAGACGCTCGCTCGCCTTGTAAAACTTTGCTGCATGTGACGCTGCTCCGGCCTCCTCTGGCAGCCTGACAAGAGCCGCCCGACCGCAGAGCGCAGGCGGCTTTTCAGGGAGAAAGAAACTCCATTGCGAGGGATGGGAGCATTGACATTCACATGTTTGCAGCGAGGGCCAGCGCCTCCAGCCAGGGCCGCGGCCGCGGCGATGCCGACCCAGCCTGGCCTGGGGTCACAGCGGGGGAGAGGGGCCGAGTTTAAAGCTGGGGCCGAGTTTAAAGCTGGGGAGACTTTCCCCCTCCTGTTCCTCCCCTGGGATGGTGTAAGTGCCGAGGGAGGCGTGCAGGAGTCTCGGCTGACCTTGTGCTGCCACCTCTTCCCCGAAATCCCCAGATCCCCTCAGGGTGGGATGAGACAACACCGGCTTCCCCTGAGAGCACTGCCCAGGAGGGAACAGGGCTGCTCAGTTCAGCGGGATTTGGGGGAATTTACCCTAAAAAAAGCCCACACCAGGCAAGCAGGAGCATGGAAAGCAGCTTCCCCACACCCTTCCCATCTTCTTACCAGTGATGGATGGAGCTGTCACTGTCAGCGTGGCCGAGCTTTGCCACTGCGCTCTTTGTGGCCTCTTCTTGTTTCCAGACGGGATTTCCCTTATCCAGGGGAAAATCCATGAGAACCTGGCTCCTCTGTAATCCCCCATTTCAGGTGAAGGCCATCCCAGGGGATGGGGCTGTATGAAGACAGGGACGGGTCCAGGGCCACCGTGCTGCCGGCGCCTGGGCCCAATCCAAGTCCCCACCCTGAGCATTTCCTGGCACCAGTCGGCCCCACCACCCCGGCAGCAGGATCTCCTCTGTGAGGGTTATTATTTTTTACATCTTTTTTTTTTTTTTTTTTTTTTTCTTTTTCTTTTTCTTTTTTTTTTTATATTTATTTTTTTTTTTTTTTTTTTTTTAAGGAATTATTTGCCTACGTGGAGCTCGGCGCTGCGGGAGAACAGAGCAAACAGCCTTATCGAGGGCAGCTGTGCCACAGGGCACTTCCTCATGCATGGCTGCAAGATGGGGCCCTCCACGGCTGCGGGGGAGGGCTGGCAGCCCCTGGCCTTCCCACTGACCAGACACCAGGGACACACCAGGCACCATCGGGAGAGCTCTCAGGGATGCTTCCCTCCCGCTCCACGGCGGGAGAGCAGCACGGCCAGGAGGGGTTTGGACTGAACTGAAGGGTGTTCAGCAGGACAGCTCTGCAGGGGAAAGGGGAGGATGGAACAGTCGCTCCGAGCTCAGCTGCACTTCCCTGGGCACAAAAGCCCATCTCGCTGCTTCCCAGATCCTGCCAGACTCGAGCATCCAAAGCCCAGTGGAGAGACAGACCAGCCTTGACCTGAGATTCCCTCTCCTGGCTGCTGTCGCTGCCGCCCTTCTCCCCCAGGCAGCTGGGAGCAGATGAGGCCAAAGTCTCGGCAATCTCAGTTTTCCACTGGAGGCTGATAAACAGCACGGAACAGCAGCGATCCCCACCCAGCCTGGCTTTGTGCAGGAGAGTCAATATTTAAACCAGGGTTTGTTTCCTGGGCAGACAGGGGAGCGCCAGTGGGAGAAACCCTCGGCTCCATCCTGGGTGCCAGATCCAAACCTCCTCCTCCACCCCTTCATTTGTTCTCCCGACCACCACATGTTCCAGTCTGGATCTCCTCTCCTGTGGGAATGGGGCCCCATTCCCTTCAGCTGGGATACCTGAGCACCAGCTGCAGGGCCAGGCACTGACTAATGGGTAGCAATTTCAGGGAGAGGGATGCCCAGCCAGGTTTGGGTTGTCTCCTTGCCTGCTCCTCGTGCAGAGTCCTTGTAGTGGGGCCCCTCAAATGAAACATGGGACAAGAATCAGGGATAGAAACAGGAGGTGAGGAAATGTTCAATCATCCTTAGAATGGCAGCCCTTTGCTTCAAAGTAAGGCAGTGCACTGAAAGCTTTGAAACCTGATTTTCATTTAAACTGCAAAAAATACAGTCAACTGTTGGGTTTTCAGCCAAGTTTGGGAGCCCCGATGAACTGGGCAGAAATTACTGGCAGGATGCATGCACTGGTGCAGCTTTAGGTAAATCCCTTAGGTGAATTCCTTAGGTAAATTCCTCAAAGGACAGGAAATAGCACTTTCCCTGCAGTGGCTGCAGTCAGGCTGTGCAGAGGCTGCAGGTTTCACAGGCATGTGAACAGCAGAAGGTGGCTTTAATTTGGAGGGTAAAGATTCATGTACTTGAGCAGGTGCTGTGTGACCTGGCAGATGCAATGCCCTGTGTTGGAGCAGGTCATAAACCAAGGTGATAAAAGGCCAGTGGGGAAGGATGGAGTTCTGAGGGAAAGATGGAATTGCTGAGCCCACCTGACTGGTCTGACAGCAGCAAAGGGTCTCCATCACCCCTTCCAGATCTCAGGGTCAATTTTAACTCCAAAAACCGAATTCCACATCTATTGTTTCAAGCACCCAAGCCCTCTGCTGCCTCCACCCTCACTCCAGGCATACCCACTGCAGTTTGCTCAGCCTATATATGCCTACCTTCCATGGAGGTGAGGAAAATCAGAGGAAATCTGAGTTTTAAACAGCTGTTTTAGGCCCTCAGTTGAAGAAAAGACCAAAGGAAGTGCCTGTCTTAAATTGAAACCTTCCCTGAGGGAGCATGTTATACAGGAAAAAAACCAAACAAACCTACCAAAAAATCCCCCAAAACAACCAACTAAAAAAACCACCCAATAGTTGTTTTATAACTGTATTTTGGAGCATAATTAAATCCTCTTTGAAATTATCTCTGGTGTTAGGGAGCAGGTCCATGCATTATTTAACTGTAACACAAACTGGGAGCAAGGGAGGACAGACAGAACCGACTTCACGACACTGAAGGGAGCTGGGTGGGGGCTGCCAGTCCCAGCACATACCCAGACAGCACCACCACTGTCCTGCAAGCCCTGCCTGGGGTGTGCATCGAGCCTGCCTGCTGGAGTAAAAACCCTGTGTGATGGCAGGTCCCCAGAAGGGCAGGATGAGATGCTCAAGGGATGCTAAACCTCTTCCCAGAGAGTGCAGCATCACCTCTGTGCAAAAGACTGCTTCGTGGGGAACTGATAGGAGGGGAAAATGCCTGGCTGCCATCACAGCACAGACTGGTGCAAAGAAACTCTTGTCTGGGGAACTGAGCATCAATCCTGCCCTGGTGCCACTGGTGAGCTCTGCTACAAACAGAGCCAGCCGTGCTCCACTGAGCACCAAGAGCCTTCGACCCTCATGCCTTGCCAGCTTTTAGCCAGCTCCAGGTGTATCCCTTTATTGCAGACAACCCTGGACAGCTGCCCCTGCTGCAGGAGAGCCCTTTGTGTGCAGCTCCCAGACCCCAGCAGCTCCGTTTCCATCAGCAACGGGATCAGGAGCCCAGCAGGGCTCGTGGTGCTGCTGCCTGGGGGACGCCCCTCGGTGCAGCCAGGCCAGTCCCACCCAGCCTCCCCCGAGAGTGTGTGCAGGCTGCCTGCCCAGCCCTCAGCTCTGCTGGGTGTATCCTAAACACAGCCCATTCCATGACTGAAATGCTGCCCAAAGCAGCAGCACTGGCAGCACGTGTCCCTTGCCAAGGGCTCTCTCTGTGTTCACATCCCATCGCTGCCCTCAGCTGGGCTGGACCCGTCTCTTTGGGACTCTGCTGTTCTTTGCAGTGGGATTCTTGTTTCCCTTCCCTGTTTTGATCCTATAATTTCCTTTTCATGCCCCCGGGAGGTGAGATGCTCCTGGGTGTTCACGTACCCTCAAACCTTAAATATGGATGCCAGGTTGATTTTGCCCAGGCAAAAGTGGTCTCTCCAGAAAGGATGAGGCAGGAGGCTGTCACCTGGCATAACATTCCCAGGGAGGTGACCTTGGATCTCCTGCTGCTTCCCAGCTCAGACAGAACAAAGCAGTCTTTTGTCCCTGCAGCTCATGGCTGGCTCCTTTAGTACCTGGGCACTTTCTGGATTCCTGGACTTCCCCAGCAACTCCAGAGCTACAGCCTGGAGCAAAGAGACAATGGCTTTCTGCTCTCTCTGCTACATCCCAGTCGAGACAGCCATGAGGATGAAGCTTTGGTCCAGCTGGAGCCTGAATCCAGACGTCCAAAAGTCTGTTGCTGGCCTTGCTGGAGAGGAGGTGTCAGTTCTGGCACCACGGACTTTGGATCAGAAAATAGAAATATACAGATATCGAAACAAGCTTGGGGTTTCTTGAGGAGTCCAAGTTGATGAGCTCTCCCTGCAGAGGCGTCAGTCCACGGGGAAGGAGGCAGCTGGGATGGGCGCCCTGCGGAACAGGAGGCTGGAGCCACGGAACAGCTGCCCCTGAGGAGGAGAGCCCGGGGTCAGGGCAGCCTGACACCTGGCCAGGGAACTGCAGCTGTTTTAGGGCAGGGCTGTAAGGCCTGGGCATCCTGGGCTGCTCTGCAGGACAAAGTGAGGTCCCAGCCCTGTGGGTGCTGGAGTTGGACATTTCCCCCAGGGGTGACAGCTGCAGAGGGGCACAGACCCTGCTGTGTGCAATGCGTGGGCTAAAAGCTCGGGGTGCAGAGCACAGCAAGGATGCAGCACAGGCACTTTTGGGGAATGCTGGAAACTTGGGGAAGGAGCAGAGGGAGGCCAAAGCCCAGCATGTGCCCTGCTCCCTCACCTGAGCACTGAGATACCTCCAGCAGTGGATCCAGGATGCAAAGGCGGGAGCGTAGGGAGGGAGGCCCGCACGTAACCTGCACGGCAACAGGGAACAGCTGAGGTGGAAGTGTCACCTTACCCACACAGGTAACAGGAGAGCAGCAGGAAGTGTGAGTGAGGACACAGGACAGTGTCCACACCGGGCTGGTGGCCAAGTGACAGCTCGTTATTTACAATGCAGATCTGTAATTACCCCGGGGTGCACAAACAAGGAGCGTTACCTGGAGACCTTGAGAGTCCAGGACTGTATTACACCTTCAAAAGCCAGCAGATACTGAGAGAACACTACACCAGACTTGGATCCCATCCCGTTCCCAGGAGCACACATGCAGACGACTTGCAGCAGTGCAATTGGGAAGGCAAGCTTGGTCCTGCTCCTGTCTGCTCCCACTGCTGCAATACGAGCTCTGCTTCCCTCGTGCTGCTCCCTGGAGCCAGCACAGTCCCTTTGATCCAGCTCAGCTCAGATCAGACCACACCACCACAACTCTCCCGATCTCTCACCACCTGAGCTTTTCTGCTGCTCGTGTCTGTGCCCTCTGATTTAAAATTATAAGCAACCTGGGACAGGAAACGAGCCAGCTCTTCGAGGTGCCACAGAGTTTACGGGGCTGTAGGAAAGCTTTACGGTCATTAGCAGCCCATTCAGACAACAAGGGGCTGCAAGAAAGGAAGGGAAAGCTTTAGATCTCAGTGTGAAGGACATACCCACAGTTGTTCACTGCCATGAGATCTCCCACGAGAAGGAACGGGTAGGTCAGCATGCTCACAGCGATCTGAAAGCACAGAAAACCAGCAGCCTCTCTAACGCTCCCCTTGTCAAAAACGCTATTTCCAGATTTTGCACGTGAGCAGAGTTATCCTTAGTTAAGGGACGTCAAGTACAGAGCAGCCTGTGCCCCCAGAGCAGGAGCTCTCAGCCCAGAGGTGACAGGAGGAGGGGAAAGGACACAGCAGCTGCCTACGTACCCCCATCACGAACTTGGTGTAGCTCCGGATCACCGATGCCTGGCTGAACTGCAGAGAGAAACCAAAGGCGCTGTGGAGGAGGGGGATGACACCAGGCTGGCACTGTCATTATGTGACACTCCCAGAGCCCGAAGCGAGGGGCAAGGGGCAGGGGACAAGGCAGAAACCAAAGGAGAGCAGCTGCATTCAGCTGAGAGTCTGGGAAGGCATTTGCTGTCACCTGTGATCCCCCAAAGTGCAGGTGAAGCACGGCCCTGAGCAGACACAGCACCTCCAGCACTCTCACAGGGATGTCCCCAAAGCCTGGGGTCTGTATTAAATCAGCCCCTACCCCAGTAACTCCTTCCCACTGCAGGTGCTTGGTCCAGACCCCAAGCCCTCCCTCGGCACTTCCACTCACGTTGTCGTCCACCGCATAGGTATTGATGAAGTGAGCCAGGAGATTGCAGCACCAGAGGAAGATGACATCCCCCAGGATGTGAGGGACTAACCCACTGCAAGGGCAAAAGGAGGGGTGAGGTGCAGGAGGGTCCCAGTGCCACCTCCCGAGGTGCCCAGCCCTCCTTCCCTCCATCAGCCCAGAGAAACTCCACTCCCCCAAAATGAAATTTTTACTTCAGGAGGAACTGAAAAGGGAGATTTCAGGGAAGAGCTCTCTGAGCCTTCAAACTTGGTGCTATACGTGCTATGGCTGGAAAGTTTTTGGGATCTGTTTTTTGGGGATGACTCAAGTCCCCTTGTTCTATCCCACAAGAAAAACCCAAGAGAAACCCAAGCCAGACACAGAAGAAGTTGTTTCCATTTCTGAAGGTCCTCTTTTGTATGCAGAATGAGAAGTTCACCTCTTTGTGGAATCTCTCTTTTTTTAGAAATCAAAATGAGGGGGGTTGTTCCTGCACAACCTGCTCCACTGAGAAGGGGGAGTAACTGGGGGAACACTCAGGTCGCTCTGATTTTTCCCAGTCCCTGCTACCCCCAGGAGCACAGTTCTTTGGTTAATGCCTCCCACTGACACACTGGAGCTCCCAGCAGCACCAGCACTGCCAGGTTTTGCAGATAATGGGACTAAAACTTTAACAAAATATTCCAGAGGGTTTCTCCAGTTTTTTGGTGCTTCTGCAGCATCTGCTGCGCCAGGAACTTTTGCAGGGGTTCTTCCACTGCAAAAGGATCCAGGTGTGTGTAAAACCTCTGTTTGACCAGATGTGGTCAGTTATGAAAAGAAGCCTGTCAGGAGCCACACGAGTGTTTGCTGTGCTGGAAAGAGCCACCTCCAGGCATCTGAGTCATTTGTTTCTTCCCAAACACGACGCTGCCTCCTCAGAGCAAAGGACCGTTTGCTTCCTGCTGTGGCTGCTGCACAGCAGCAGGGACTGGGACTGGCTTTGGGAACAACCTGTGCATTGTTAAGGCCCCAGCAGTCCTGGGGATGCAGCTGAGGTCTCAGAGGACAGGCACAGCAGAAACCTTCAACAGAAGATTCACTGGCTTCAAAGATGTGATACATGAGAGCAGCAGACAGGACAAAGAAATCAAAGCTCTCTGGCCCCAAAGAGATGTTCTGCTTTGTGTTTGGCTTTCAGCCTTTGTAAAAACCATCATTTCTCTAACTCAAAGTTAAGTCTGAAGCTCCTGAGCTGCTGCAGATACAGCAGAGCCTAATAAAGTCCAGAAGCAAAGGGCTGGGCCAGGGCAGCCCCATAAGGAAAACCTCACCCAACTGTTGATAGGGAGTCAGACTGTTTATTCCACTTCCAATAGGGAACCCATCCCTCTCTCCCCTCCAAAGTAACAACAGCTGCTGGCCCTGAGCTGGACGACTGGAAACAGGGGTCTGAGAGATGCAGAAAGGAACTAAAAAAAACCAACAAGCCAAAGGGATCAGGCCTGAAAACCCCTCCTGGAATTCCAGCGCTGCCTTTACTACTACTGACATAAAAAATGAGTACTGCAATTCTCACACCTTCTGAGATGTCCAATATCTGAACTGGGAATA